AAGAGTCAGACGCCTAACCAACGGAGCCACCTAGGCACTCCTAAAAATGAGAATTCAGTTTTTAAACCATTTGTCAGAGAGTAAGAGAGGGAGTGTGCATTCAAGAGAGAGCTGGCGCACAAGCAGAGTGGCAGGCAGAGGGAGAAGTGGGCTCCCCACTGAGCAAGGAGCCCAATGTGGGGCTCAATCCCAGGACCCTGGGATCGTGACCTGAACCGAAGGCAGATGCTTAACCAACTGACCTATCCCGGCATCCCCAAAATGAGAATTCTTAAATATTATTTTGCTTCTTTATTTTTAATTCACATGTACCAATTTTATGAAAGTCGTAATCATGAAAAAATTTAATGTTTATTCCTTTTTAAAATCTAATTTTTTAAATTACATTTATTGACTCAAAAAGGATATAATGTTCTTCTGAAAGTTATCCTAGTCTCTTAATATTTACATTATTTATTTCCCTATATATTCAACTTTTTTTTAGGATAAATCAGGAGCTCTTATATTCATCCTTAATTATTACACATTTTGTTTGTGCAATAATAATCATTTATTTATATGTTGATTGATAATATTTCAACTTATATACTTACAAAACATATATTTGCACTGTAATTACATTTAGAATACTTTCCTATCTGGGGAAAATTACTAAGTATTAGTAGTAAATACAAGTGACATGCCTTGTTTGTAAATCTGATGTTGTTATTCTATTTGGATATGTGGTAACCTACATGATCACTGATCATGACAAGTTCAGGAATGCCAGAAATAACATCAACATAGGCTCTGGCCATTAGGCTGAGGCCAAAGCCAGATCATACATTTGACTAAATACGGGAGCAAAAGCCTCCCCTTTGCGTTTCCAGCTAGGGATGGAATTAGTGCTGAAATTGAGCTTACTGGATAGAAGCATGTTAGGAAAGTATTGCTGTGGTAGGAGTATATTTTTCTATTCTTTATGGAGAGGGAGATGGCTAAGAAAGTTGCAATGTATGTATGGGTTGATGTTGAGTAAATGTCAAATAATAATGGCCTGTGATGAGTAGCTCATCTTTTTTTGAGAAATTGCCTTTTTAATTATTCTTACATAGATTTGATGGAAACCATATTTAAGCTTTTGGAGTATGTACATGGAATGGAGGATAGTATAAAGCAGAGATCAGCAAACTTTTTCTGTAAAGATGGTAAAATGTTTTATACTTTGTGAGGCATTTATGGTCTCTGTCACTACTACTCTGCTGCTGTATAGACAAAGCAGCCATAAATAATATATAAATGAATGGGTGTGGCTGTGTCCCAATAAAACTTTATTTATAAAAACAGATTGTAGGCTGGATTTCTCTATGAACTATAGCTTACACCAACCCTTGGCATAAAGTATATCCTCATAAAAAAATGCTGCGTTCTTGCAAAATAAAGGAGTTTAATTTTGATAACATAGTGTCAGCTTAAAGTCATGAGGGATTTGGATGGTCTAGTTAAGTTGACTAGCTTCTTCTCCTGTCCTGCCTCTGATTGTCTAAAATTTCAGCTTGAGTACTTATAGATAGAAAAGTTGGTTTATTTATTTCCTCCAGGAGTGGAGGATTAGAGTGGCTATCAGTTTTTAAGTTCCAGTGTCATGGAAGAAAATGTTTTTTGGCTTCAAAAAGGCAACTTTAGGGCGCCTGGGTGGCTCAGTGGGTTAAGCCTCTGCCTTCGGCTCAGGTCATGATCTCAGGGTCCTGGGATCGAGGCCCGCATCAGGCTCTCTGCTCAGCGGGGAGCCTGCTTTCTCCTCTCTCTCTATGCCTGCCTCTCTGCATACTTGTCATCTCTCTCTCTCTGTTTCAAATAAATAAATAAAATCTTTAAAAAAAAAAAAAGCAACTTTAGGGGCCCCTGGTTGGCTCAGTCGGTTAAGCATCTGCCTTCAGCTCAGGCCATGATCTTGAGGTCTTGGGATTGAACCCCTCTGCCCCTCCTCCCTGCTCATATGCATGCTCTCTCTCTCTCTCTCTCTCTCTCAAATAAATAAAGATCTTAAAAAAAATAAAATAAAAAGGCAACTTTAGTGTAATAGCCAACTCTCTAGTAACTAAATTTAAAAAGAAAACTAAGGACTTTTTTCATTGAAAAATGAGGCTAATCTTCAGGCTGCACTGGTGAAAAATACGTATGTATAAAGTGTGTTTCAGTGTCACTGAGTTCTTGGAATGTGTGTTGTTACTGTTTTGTAGATTAAGGCCAGATATAGAAGAGTTAACTCCTGTCACATGTGAAGTAGAACATAATAACATGTACCTTGTATGTATAGAAGTTATGTGGTTGGCAACCTCAGCTATCCAGAATGCATCTTAGCACCTGAAGTAAGGCCCCTGACCAACTGCAGTAAATATCAGAAGTCATTCACTGAAGAGTATACATTTTACTCAAGGGGCATTTCTTAAGCTATTACAGCCTATTTGCTCATCTTAGAACTAGTTCACTGTGCATATCACACAGCAGATCAGAAGCCAGAGATTTGAGTTGAGGTTCAGGGGCTATTGGAGGAGACATAATAATAGTAACAAGATTTGCTAGCTAACTCCTTGGCATTAAGAAGTAGATCGAAAAACAAAAATGCAGACAATGAGAACTCTTTAAATCATAGCAGTTTGGGGCCTTTGTTTTAAGGGCCTGGTACACTGTTTATAGAATAGTATATTAACTGATGTAATCATGCCTCTAAGTATCTGTCAAAGCTGACTTTTTTTCTCTTTAAGATAAGGACAGATAAGTATGTATTTTAGAAATATTATGAGTAAAAATTTTTAAAGTACCTTGACACTCAAAGAGAGGGACAGATTTTTTAGTTACATGAAAAATTCACTTGGGGAATAGCTTATTCCCAGATAATTTTTAAGAATCAGCTTTCTGATATTTTTTTGTCCTTCAAATTTTTCTGTCCTGGTTATTGTTATTTTTGGGCAGTGATGCTCTTAGAAGTTGGATTAGGTCAGAAGATGTCCATTTTTCTTTCTTTTTCTTTTATTTGGACTTCTGCTTTCCCAAGTAAAGGTCTTTCTTTTTGAGTATTCTGGTAGCACTCTCCTTCCCAGAGGAGCCCAGGTAGGTAGAGTTTGTGTTGTTGCTCCTTCACTTCCTTACTTACTCAAATACTGAGCATCACAGCTCTGTGGAATACACCCCCCCACCCCCCTGCCCCCCACCCCCCCACCCCCGCCCAGAGAAGACAGTGGCAAAGTCCGCAGCTGATACTAGCCTCCTTTTGTGGTAAGAACCAAACCAACAGACTTGCCAGATCTGTAGTTTGCTGTATACAAACAGGCCTGTTTTGTTAGGGGAGCAGCTTCTTTCCAGGCTTTTTGGGACTCTAAACAATGACAACATTTTAAAGGGATGTTTGGCTTTTGGAGCATCCAGCTTGTTTAAATTGCTTTTTAAAAGCCCCCATCCCCCACCCCATCTCCAGATTTGTTAAAAAGCAGGAGCTTTTAATTTCAAACACAAAGTGGTAGTTTGGTGTATATATATATGTATATATTAAGAAGAGTGTCTCAGTAACCTTTTATATGGCTCATAGAAGCTTTTCGTGTTCCTTGTTTTTTTCTGGGAAACTTAAAATTTTAGATTTTGGGGGCCAAGTCCAATTAGCCATAGTGGATTAATATATAAGACTGATGGCTCTTTTTCTCTCTTTATTACTAGAAACTGGTCGCTCAAATGAAGCAGGATCCACAGGTAAAGTACTACTTTTATTCATTTAATTTTTAAATTAAAATAATTAAAAATAACTATAAGATGCTAAAATATAGACCAGGACTTAAGTTTTAGAAACTATCTCCTCTCTAGCAGCAATCGTTTTTAGCACATTAGTCTTCATGTTACAAGTGTTTAGAAAAATCCAGTCAATCTGTTATAGTGTATAATATATGTGTGTATAATACACACACACACACACACACACACACACACACACATATATGGCTGTTAAACATACCATACATTCCTTGTTGTAAAGTTAAGAAAATAAATTCTAGGATTAAAGAATGGTACTGAAGTAGATTGATATTTTTGGAAATGGGAAATATATTCATTTTTCCAAAAACTTAGCACCCAGTGGCCTAACTAGTGTGTGTTAACATAATCCATGGATTCTGAGGGCTGGCATTATGGCCCACATTTAACTCCTGTTTGACAGTCCTGCTTCTTTGAGAAGCTTTTCCATTTTTATTTATTTTTTAAAGTGTATTAAAATTTAAATTAGATTTAGGGAAGCAAGAGGCAGTAGACCTTAGATTAATAGACTCTTTCGTATGTAATATGGTAACCTACATTGTCAGCAACTGAAATATTAGAAAATTTTAGCATTTCTGATAGAGCTGGTGGTCATGTAACAGAGTAATCTTAACTCAAAAGAATCTGAAGGGGCAGTAAGTAGTTGGACAGTCTTGTGAGTGATGTCATTAGTGAAGCCTTATATCAAATATAAAAAAGACAATGTAGAGTAAACATGAGGGGGAGGATGTGTGCCCCACCTCTGGCAGAAGACCAAGCAGGGGGAATCAAAAGAAATGCATGTGAAACAATGAAGAAAAAGTAGTCTTTTTTATTGGAATGGTGTTCAGTCTGTTAGTAGACTGTCCTGCTACATTAAGCATTTGAAAATTTTAATTTTGGATTTTTCCCCACTTGAGTAAAAAGCAAGCACACTCAGTGTATCTCATCTAAAATAGTATTCTTTTTTGATTCCTAGAATTTTAGAACTGAGAAAATACCCTGGTAGTCAGTGTGTTAATTTGAATGATGTAGTGTTAAGGCGGTTGCAGCACTGACAGCATTTCAAATCTAGGCTAAAATAACAAATGTACTCTACTAAATAAGAGAGAGGGCAAGTAGAGAAAAACTCTTATCTTTATTGATAATGCCTTTAAGTATGCAGTGTATGCATGCTTACAACTTCCATTTTCCTGCTTTTGTCTGATTAGTGGAGCTTGGGGTTTTTTGTCAACTGATACTTTCTATAAAGAATAACAGGATTTCAATAGAAAGGAAGACTCTTACAGTACAAGATGCTAAGATATAAAACTTCTTGTAATTTGAAACAATTGTGAAGGAACTGCTCCTGTTCCAGTGTTAGGAGCTAGATTTAGGATCTGTGCATTAGGTGGTGATAACATTTAATGCATGACAAGTTTGATTGGCTAAATGCTTAAGATTGCTTCATCATTTGTAATACAGTATGCATAAAGTCTTCTTGCTACTATTCTGTTAACAAATGAAATATCTTTCTCACAGATATTTTTTCTTTCCAATCAGAATGCTGATTTAAAGAAACAGCTTCATGAACTCCAAGCCAAAATCACAGCTTTGAGTGAGAAACAGGTAGGGAAAAAAGGGGGAGGGGGCATATTTTTAACATTGTGTTCTAAAGATATGTCTGCTCGAGGCTTCTAGGAGAACTGCTATTTTTCCTCATGTGTGAAAATAAGTGTGGGCAGCCAGACTCAGTTTTAATTTTGTTTGAGCTCTGTTTATCTATTTTTATTTTTGGTTGAAATCAGTGTCTAGAGTATCCCATGGGTATATGTTCCTGGCAGATACCTAAAAGCAATGTGGCAGGCTGCTGTTAACTATGTTAATTAAACTCTATAGTTTACCCATAGGGGAAAGAGGTAAAGAAAGTTAGTGGGAGTATGTGATAGAGAATCTTGTAGTTGCTGGATGTGTCTTGTTAACCTGTTGTAAAGGCTTGAGAAGACATGTAACTTACCGTGGAGAAAATGGTTGTAAATAAATTGCTGTAAATGTAGGTCTCCCATTCTGATTAGTGTCATGCCTTTATGTTATTCTTTATTAGATAGTGACCTATTATATGAAGAAACATTGGTGGCCCCTTGTTAGATTTAGTTATATAGAGCAAGAGAAGAGCGTCTTGCTTTTTTTCCAAGGACATCTGCAAAGTTTTCTTTGGAATTTCTTGTATAATGACCTCTACTTCACCAATTCCGGTAGCTCCTGCCACCAGGTGGAGTGTGACAATTGATAGAGCTCTTAGTAAATGTCTGTGGTAATCTGACAAAGCATTTGTTTCCTGTTCCTTCCCCACCACTCTCCCTCTGGTTAAAAGGAGTTTTCTGTCTTGGTGTAGGTGAACGTGTGAACCAAAAGCATAAGGTGATTTGCAATTCATAATTCCTGCTAGTGACATCTTATTGAAGATTTTTGAGTAAACAGTTCTCAATAATTGATTTTCATGTGTTTTTTTTTTTTTAAACTTTCGTTTAGTGAAATAACAGTAATGAGAGTAATGTATCCCTGGAGATTTCTGATTGTGTTTGTATTGTGTTTTCTATTTTGTTTTCACTTAACTAAGAGGAGAAATAAATTTTGAGAACTATGTGGAATGGATACGAGTTGTTAATTGTTCAGAACAGAATCTTTTTCCAAGCTGAGTGAACAACAGCTTTTTTTCTCCCTGTTCCTGTTCTTATGCTTCTGCATACCCCCCTTGTCTTCTCTAGAGACAGGAGATATTTTAGATTAGGGAATTGCCAAACTAAAATTGGGAGGAGGTAGCGTGGTAGAGAACAATTTGTAAGGAAAAATATAAACAGAGTTCGTTAGTATGTATTTGGCTCTGAAAGTGATTCAGTTCTCTAAAGTCAAAATGATGTGTGTTAGTGGAAGTGTTCTAGCTTTAGAATTCTGTTAGCGCTGAGCCTCCTTATAGTTTCAGGGTTAGTTTGACAAGATGCCAATGAATGAGTCACTTTTGCTGAAAAATTCACGTGTTGCAGCCAGGAAAGAAGGTGAGAACTGATTAGTGGAGTATGGGTGGGGGATGCTGTCACAAAGTTAAGACAATCTAAAGCTACATTTGGGGAAAATGGGGCAATTGAAAAAATTTACATTTATTTGAAATTTTTGTTTGTGGGAACTGATATAAAGATTTAGTTTATTTCTATAACTTTTTCTTTAATTTCTTTTTTTTTTTAACTAGGGACCTCAGTTAATAGAAAATTGTAACCATTTATGTTTATGTTCAGTTAGACATTTCATCAAGTGGTAAACTCTGTCATCTGAACTAAGTTTGAATTTTAGAAACTAGAATTTTAAAAAATGGGCCTGCCATCAGGAAAAACTTAGGTATATAAAGTAAAGAAAGTAAAGAGAAACGGAGTCAGAAACTGAAATGCAATCTTGCAATTTTAAAAATATTTTTTTAACTGTTAAAACAACCTTTTGATAGAACACGAAATATATCATTTTTAGGTAGGCTAGTACTTGAAGAAAGCACAGCTATAAAGTTCAGAAGCTGGGCCTTCCTCAGACTTATTTCCAACATAAAACATTGATATTCAGTTTGAAATAGTTTTATTTTACAACAAACGCCTAATGCTGAATGCCTAGCATTTTGTTTTTCCTTTTCAAAAGATCTACTTAACCTCTGGCAAAACACTGGTTTTCCTTTTACTTTCATTACTAAAATCTGAATTACCTTACTCACATGACAGATATTTTAATTTAACATTAATTTTTTTGGTTGTGAGAAAAATGCTAAATTCAGCAAAGTACAAAGAATGTCATATTCCAGAATTAACAGCTACTAACCGTTATCATTATTTGTTTCTATTCCTTTTATACTATGTTCACTTTTCTATTGTCATTTTTTCTATAGCCACTTAAAAATTTATACAAGTAATAGATGCACACATGCTCTTTTTTTGCTTTATTAAAAAAACAAACATTGTGAATGTCATTAATTCTTACAGTGGGCACTTATTTGTTATTACTACCTCAATCTTTGGTACTTAATCAGTTTCTTCCTCAAGACTAATTATGAAATGTTATGCTCCATTTGGGAAAATACGGTCTTTAGTGAGCATCTTTCATGGCTAAAACTCAGTGAATTTCATTGAATTCTTGGTTAGAAGGTTCCAGTGTTTTCAAACTGTAACTTGAGATTTTTGAATAAACTCCCTATTGCAGATTTTGAAATGAGCTCCTTGGCCCACAGGGTTTTAATTTGTGGTTGACAGTTTTAACTCAGGAAATCCCCAGACTTGATTGGTTAAACCAATTACATGGTATGGAGCCATTAAAAAATCATGATTTCAAAAATATTTTAATGATAGAGGATGTGCTCTTGATAAAGCAAGTGAGAAAGTACATGCAGCTTCATATGCATTATAATCCCACTTTTGACTGTGTTTTATGTATGTATGTATGTAGGCATGTAAACACATAATAGAAACAGTGTCACTATGGAGTGTTGGAAGGTGACGAATTTACAGGTGGTTTATTTTTTCTTTGAGGTCTTATGTATGTTTGCTTTAATCTCTACAATAAATATGTTGCCTTTTTATAACCAGAAATAGACAAGAAACATTATTTAAAAAATTTTTAACACCAAACTTTTGTCTGTTCTAGAGAGAGTTAGCATTTAAATATCCAGTGACATTCTTCCCATGGTATATGAACACTCTATTCATAGAATCCATCTGTTTTAAATACTACTAATACTGAAGTATAGAAGCAACTATTAATTTCTTTAATAGGGTTCATTCTTATTTTTCACCCCTTCCTCCTCATTTTGGCATGATGTGTGGTCTTTTGCTTTTCAGAATAGAGGTTAGATAGTTTTTTAAAACAGTCATCTTGCATTTTATGCTTTTTAAACTGAAAGTATTATGAACATCTAACATTTTTGAGTGTTTTTTAAAACTACGATTTTTATAGGTTCAAATACTTAGTGTCCTGGCTATAGATGATAATTTGGTTATTCCTCTAATATTTGATGATGGGATATTTCCAGTTTTTACAAATATTTACAAATATTGCTATGGTAGAAATACGTGTGTGAATTTGTTTGTCTCTGATTGCCTTAGGATACATTCTTAGGTGTGGGATTACTGGATGTATTGGTCAGCTATTGCTGTAATAGTTCTGCATAACAAACCAGTGTTGCATTGAGTAGCTTACAACATTTATTTTCTCATTGGGTCTGTATATCACCTTGAGTTTTCCTGATCTAGGCTAGACACATCTGCTTTCCTGATCTAGGCCTAGACACATCTACTTGAGTTTGTGGGTTGGTTGGCCCTGCCAGCTCTGCTCTGTACCTGTTCACTTTGAGGCCTGCCACAAAGAGGCAGCAACTATCCGGGGCATACCCATTTCACCAGAATACCAGAAGCAGACCAAAATACATTTTTAAGCCTCTGCTGGCATCAAGTCTTTAAAAATCTCGTTAGCCGAAACAAATCATGTGGCCAAGCCCTGCAAAGTTACATGACAAAGGGTGTGGGTAATAATTTTATAACAGAATATAAAGAATTGAAAACAATCCATCTACCTTACTTGGTTAAAGTTAGTATAAAAGAATTTAAGTTCTTTTTCTTGAAAGAACTTAAGTATATATATTTTTTATAAAAACATATTTTTTACTACTTATTTCCAAATAGCCTCCAGAAAATGCTGTATCAGATTAACAGCAAATATGACAGTACCTAGTTTTTCCCAGGAGGTACCCTGTGGGGGAAAAAAAGCATTTTGCTAATGTGGGAGATGAGTTAATAGGTATCTGAGGCTTAACTGGAGGTTTATTTTTCAAGCCACTTGTCCATGGTACAGATATTCCATAGTATTCCTTAGAATACTTAGAAACTTAGAATACTTAGAAACATTTCAGTTTTAGGTTTTATTTTCCTTTTACCCTTTATCCTATTTTTCTTATTCCTTTTTTAGAGAGGTAGACAACTTCATAGTCTTTGGCCTTTGCTACTGCTTTGCTTTTCCAACTCTATGTTTAAAAATTATAGTCCCTATTCCTTATAGATTGCTTAACCTAATAGAAGATGAAATACTTTCTGGGTTTAATAAATAGTTGCCATTTATGAAGCCATTCTCATTTTAAATTTTGAACATATCTTACTAAAATGGATTTGAAGCCTTTGAGAGAGAAGTTTCTGTTCCTGTCATAACTAATTATGTTTCTGATGCATAGAACAACATTATTTAAGCTAAGTAGGTGACTTGAAAAAGGGACTGTGGGTGGGGGAGGGGAAACTGGAGTTTGATTCTGTTCCTGAAATAGACTTTTTCATAGATTTTGAGTTAATAATTTAATATATCTGTTTCCTTATTTATGGAATGTTTGAATAATGCCTTTTAGGAGTTAGTGAACGTGTATCATTGTATATGTATAATGTGTATATGTATCTATTGAGTGCATTGAATGTTTTTGGAGGTAAGTTCTATTTCAGTGGAATAGGTTAGCTTTAGTCATAGTGGTTAACTTCATCTCATATGGAACACCTTCATCTTAATGGTCAAGTACTACTTTTTTTTTCCCCACGTACTACTTTTTTTAAGAACTTAGA